CACCACCGGACTTCTGGTCTACCTTCTGCCCACCCAGTTCTGCTAGTCCAGCATCCTGATCTGTGCATCAAATCTTTTTCTATAGAGTAGATGGGTCCATGGTCCAAGGCAGCTTCCTACATTCTCCACTTTACCCTAAGTAGACGGTATGGGGAATGTCAGGACTGAGGACTGAATGCGGCCCTCCATTTCTCTCTGCCTGGCCTTCAGGCCACACCCCTCACAGTTCCCACTCTGCATCCACCTCTAGTCATTTTACGTGGCTGGGATATGACCTTGAACTGTGTGCTAATACCTCTTACTTGCCTGGACAGAAGATGGGGAATGATGTGACCGAGTCTGCAGCCCCTGGAAGCTTGCCCAGAAAGAATGTGGCCCTCAGGCTGAAGAGGGACATGGACTAGCAAGAATATTCAGAGTCGGTTTTCCAACTTTTTTTTTTTTTTAAAACACAGGCCCCTTTCCAAAGCCTTTAACAGATCCTGGCACACACAAATTTAGCAGGGTGGATGTGTTACTGGCATGAAGTTCAGTGGCGTGGAAGGCTTCACCTCATTAATCAACCCTTTCATTTTAGTTTTTTCAAGATCGCTCCCGAAAGTGGCTTCCAGCATATTGAATGAACAAACAGAAGCAATAAATGTAACCGTTCTATCCAAAGCGTATTTTAAAACAATTTTACAATAGCAAATGCCCTGTGTGTTTTGCTGTGTGTGGTGGCAGGTCCAGGTAAGTGATGGATTTTATATTTTTTAAAAAGGATTCCCCCCCACTGCAAAAAATGATTCTATCTTTTTTCTAAAATAACCATCATGGGTTTCTTTTTCCCAGCAACTCTAGGTGTAATCTGAAACTTCCATACTCCTAGTTGAGTCTAATCCAATTAAGCCTGTAATCTCCTCCTATACGCCTTTTAAGACTCTGACTAAATGCAGACTTTGTGGCTGCTTGATCAAGCTAGTATTTTTCTATCTGCTGCCCCCACCCATGGCTTTGCTTAAACCGATGAAAAGTTCTGGAGAACTCAAAAACTAGGTAATTAATTGACTTCTATCTATCCTGCACGTCCTTCCTTAAGGAACCCAGGGAAGCAAACAGATATACAATTTAAAAACAGAAACAAAGCAAAAACAACAAACCATTTAAAAACAGATTAAACATAAAAAATTACGATTAAAAATATCTAAAACAAATATAGTTAGAAACATTCCTGTAGCCAATGATCTCGAGGTTGCCAGGAACAGTATCCTTTAGTCACCAGACACCTGGGTAAATAAGAATGTTTTCAAATTCCTCCTGAAAGTTAATAATAGAGACAGGCGCACCTCACTAGCTGAACCACCACCGAAAAGGCCTTGTCACAGATCAGGCAAGCTGGGTGGCAACACCAACAAGGCCTCACATTATAATGTTATCGTCACTCCTATTAAAGCTCCTCCCTGACTGAGTTTTGGGGAAATATCTTGCTGAATTCCTGAGGGGGTGTGTCTGCTCCTAAAACAAAAAAAGAACCCGGTGGCACCTTAAAAGCTTCCATCTGCAGTATACATTTAAAGCAGCATCATACCAGTATCATAGCCTCCCCAAAAGGATCCTGGGAACTGTAGTTTGCTGAGAGTTGTTAGGTGACACCTATTCTCCTGAGCTACCATTCCAAGAGTTCTGTAGGAAGAGGGATTGGTTTTTAACCCATTCTGGGAAATGTACCTTTGTGGTGTTATGCTAGGCTTAATGTAATTTATTGTGGACTGAATCCGCATAGGCATTGATCACACGGCCTGCGTTAATAGGCTAACCCATGGCAAGATCATGGCCACTGGTCCCATCGCCTCCTGGCAAATAGAAGGGAAAGAAATGAAGGCAGTGAGAGGTTTTACTTTCTTGGGTTCCATGATCACTGCAGATGGTGACAGCAGTCACCAAGTTAAAAGACGCCTGCTTCTTGGGAGAAAAGCAATGACAAACCTAGACAGCATCTTAAAAAGCAGAGACATCACCTTGCCGACAAAGGTCCGTATAGTTAAAGCTGTGATTTTCCCAGTAGTGATGTATGGAAGTGTGAGCTGGATCATCAAGAAGGCTGATCGACACATTTCCCTTCAAAACAGTTTCCACCCGATTTTAAATCCTAAACTGTGTTCACATCAGTTAAGCTGAAGTGTGTACATTTGCTTCATGAATAGGAATTCAAGATGCTGCAGGTGCAAGGAAACCAAATAGGTAATGTGCAGAGTGAAGACGTGGCCACCTCCTCCTGGTGTGCCATCAACGTGCAAATACAGGGAAAGACTACTGAACATAGTCTTCAAGTCTCACATTTGCTTCAAGTCTTGCCTTTGGTAGAAATTTGGCTGCAGCAGGCCAACATCTCTGTCCTTAAAGGTATGGGAGAGGGATGGGAAATTTGCGGCCCTCCAGACTCCCCTGAGCCCCTGCCTGCATGGCCAATGGTAAGGGGAGATGGGAGCTGCAGCCCAGTGATATCTGGAGGGCCACATGTTCTTCAGCCCAATATAAGAGCACCTCCTATTTGGCCAGCAATAGACTCCCACGGTCCCTTGGCTTTCCATTATCATACAAGCTCTCCATCCCTGCCTCAGTGTGACCCCCCCCCCCAAAGCAGGGCAAATCTGCCCTGAATGATGATGGTAATAAAAAATGCCCTTCTGCTTGTTTTTTTTTAAATGAAATATTTTATTTTAATATAGTGCATCCCCACAGCAGCTTTAGTCAAAGAGCAACGGCTCCTTCATGTAGTTTTCTTTCCACAAGGAAAAGGAAGACACTAGCCTTCGCCAGCTTCCCGTCCTGGCAGCAAAAATTTCATCAAGGCCTCCCATCCCTCCTTCCTCATTTGTATAATGATCGTGGGGGTTTCACACTGAGGTGACAGAATTGGTTTTGCCATTATTGCTTTCTCCTTTTTGCATGCCTTTGACACACACACATGCACCCTTTGATGACCCTTTTGTTCCAGGAGGTGCAAAATTGCACCTTTTGATCTCAAGGCTGTGTGGCTTGGCTAGAGGGAAGGGAACAGGGACTCTGCCTTTGCTTAAGGAAAAAAGGAGGTGATGCCTGCCCCTCTTCACACAAGCCACAAGGGCAAGGCCATTGGGTCAAATGCCAGGCTTGTGTAGTCACTCTGGGCCAGGTATAAATGAGCAGGACTGCCCTTCCTGAGGGGAAGAGGGCCTTGGTGCCTGAACAAGTTATTAACAGGAGATCAGTCAACCAATTTTGCAACGGCAATGGCAAGGAAGTGGATCTGGTAAGGGCTGTTTGAAAGTGGAAGGCGGCAGACTCTATTTTGTGGGAGGAATTTAAGGAGAAGTTGAACACTGGGCGGCCATCTGTCAAGGAAGCCAACATAAGAGGGTTCCCATATTTCAAAAAGTGAAAACCCGGACACAAATGCCGCTGAGATTTTCTTGGCAAAGTTGTGCCAACATCCAACTCAGGTGACTTGTCCCAAATCCTAAAGCTCGCCAGCCAGCATCATTTCACTGTGGCGAAGTTTTTAATCAGATGAATGTTTTCAATTCTGTTTATATTTATTCACAAGCTTTACTCCTGTCCTGTTGGATTGATGACCCCCCGTGTTCTGTGTTTTATATGTATTTTATGTTTACATTGCAACGGCCATTCAATGCACCCACTACAATGGGTAGATGGGAGAGAGACCAGCCCTTACTGGTAGAAAACCTGTTGGCAATATTGTCTTTTGGGACATGGAATACTGACACCAACTCTCTGGAAAGAGAACTTCGCCGAGGATGAATCTGTCTTTGCATCTCTGCCAAGTTCTACAGCTTGCCTTGCCTGCTTCATTAGCCCTTCTCTCTCCTTCTGCTGTTGTTTATCCAGCAAAATCTGCCTTGTGCTGTCACAAACCCTGAGGCTCATGTTGTACACTGGGCAGGAAGACATTTGCCCCTAAACTCCCCAAGCTGCTTGCTTCTTCCCCCACCTCCCCACAAGATCCTGGCCACCAGCTGCCTTGATTCCAGCAGAGATGCCCCTTTGTGCGGTGACTGAATAATCTGATTAGGAAGTGCTGTCCTCCCCGCCCCCCCCCCCCATATTGCTGTTTAAAAACCAAATAAATGCTTTGCAATTGGGAAAGTGCTATCCATCTTGCTGCCTCCCACCCCTACCCGGTCGGCTTCTGCAGGGGCAGCAGGTCACAAAGCCAAGATGAGCAATACTGCCTCGAGCCCTACTGTGCGTGGCCGGCGCCTCTGTTCATAAGGAGAGATCAAAGGGAGCCATCCAGTGACAGCTTGGATGGACATAGCTCTTTGAGGGTTCTCATAAACCTATCCATCACTAAGGGGAGTGGCAGCTGCAACTGAGATGGCAGACCGATGCAAGAGTGATGCAAGATTTGTCGTGGGCCCATCCTAAACCAGGATGAATCCAGGTCATTCATTCAAGGCACCCACCCAAATAATCCTGGGAACTGTACTTTTATTGCCCACAAAGCTACAATTCCCAGCACCCGCAAAGGTTTCAGGGCACATGTTCTGCTTTATTTCCAGCTGGTGCAACTCCTGAAAGCTGCCTGCTGGAATCAGTAACTTTGTATACCACAACTGTTCCATTTGAGAGGGCTGTGTGGTACCACTTTTGCTGAGCTACAGCCCAAGGGTGCCTTTTCAGAGGGCAATAATGCTACAACATACACAGCAGAATGCTGTGTGGATGCTCCAGTATAAATCCACCACAAATGCGCTATGATTGTGTCAATAATATGTTGCAGAACTCCTCCAACCCAACTCCCAGTCTAGAAGGGTTGCTTTTTAAAATATTTACATATTTACAGTCATTTCCCTCCTTTCCTTCAAGGAGCTCAAGGTGGTGTACGTGGTTCTCCCAATTTAATCCCAAGCACCTGCAAGATCCTGCCCTGCTTTTGCCATCTTGGGGAAGCTCGTCCCCTCCTTCTGAGTGAGCTGATATTCCCCACTGACCCTGGGGCAAAGGAGGCACTGGAAGAGATGGGTGAGCTTGCTGCCTTTTGGGGGCTCCTATACCTTTAAGGCAGAGGATGGGAGCTGGGAAAGGGAGGGCGGTCCCCCTCCCCCAGCAAGCCCCGCCTCCGATTTTGCCTTTGAATTTATTTCATCCCATTGTGTAGCCTGGAGATCCCAGCCTGGGAAGCAGAGAGATCTTTGGCTTTGGGAAGGTAGAGGGAAACAGCACGGATCCTGCTCTCCAACAAGTTTGCATCATCTTTCTTTTCTTTGCAAGAAGAAGAAAAGCATCAGAGCCAGGTTGGAGGGAGAGAAGGTGTGTCTACTTTGGAGGAGATGGTGGTTAATTTTTAGCATTTGTTGATGGGAGGACCCTGGGGTGGCAGTGTCTGCGTATAGTAGGCATCCCACCCACCCCCATTGCCGTTTGGCCAGGATTCTGGGGGATGGGGTGGGGTGGGGGGCAAATGCAACAGGGCAGAGGTGTGTCTGTGTGAGAGAGGGTTGGGAGGGATTGTTTTTAGCATTTGATTTTAGCATTTTTAATATATGTTCTTATTGTTCTGTGTCAACCGCTTGGAAGTTTTGATGATTAAATGGTATATACATCTAATTGAATGAATGAATAAAAACAAAAGGTCATTATGTTATGATGTGTGGACTGGCCCTAAGGGGTCAAGATCTAGTCTTGCAGTAGAACTGGCATGTTAGAATCCTGAGGGTGTAGCATGAACTGTGGAATGATTCCTTTTTCTATCATCTATCCATCCATCATCTATTTTATTTATTTATTTACTTACACTTGGTTGCTACCTTTCTTCCATGCAGAGCCTCTGCTTTCCAATTGGTCTCTCATCCAGGCACTGACCAGACCCCCGACTTGCTTAGCTTCATCAGAGTAGGGACTGAACCATTAAAATGGTTCATTAAAAGTTAACACAGCAGGAAGAAAGATTTTTAACTCCCCCTTTTCCCTGTTGAGCTAATTTTTTACTTGCAGGGAAATTTTATTGGTCTGCTTGTTTTCAAAGCCCTCCCTGCAGAGCATTCCAGAGTGGTTGCCCCCACCTCTTGTCCAACGTGGTACATGCCATTCTGCCACCTTAGAACCTGAGCATCTTGTTCCCCTTTTGCTCTGTGATATGTTTCGACCAGGTTGGATATTGGCTAAAGAAGGTGGGGATGTGGTATTTGGGTGATGGGCATGTTTGTGCTTGTGCACAAAGGAAGGCCTTAGAAACTAGGAATCCATGAGCGGTGCTTTGATGCGTAGCCGTGACCTGGAGTTTTGAGCCTTCAAAAATGTTTCATGTGGTCCTCATAAGCTTCTTCCACCAGCCTGCCACATTGACAGTCAGGGTGATTATTGCAGAATGATAAAAACGTAACCTCGCTTTTTTAACCTATTGAGTTTGCTTCTGGGCAGACCAGGAGTTTCAGGATGGTGCCCCCAGCAGGGATAACATAGCACTGTGAATCAGAAAGCCTTCAGTTCAAACTGCACCTCTACCGTCACACAGTAAGTGGTAAAGTATCTGCTTTACATGCAGAATGTCCAGGTCCAATCCCTGGCATCTCCAGGTAGGGCTTGTAGAATCTCCCCACATCTGAAACCCCGGAGAGCTGCTGCCTGTCAGTGTGGGCAGTACTGAGCTAGATGGACAGTGATCTGACCTAGTCAGTATAAGACAGCTTTCTCTGTTCCTATGTATGTTCCCCTATGTCCTCTAATGGTTGTTGGCATCCGCCTGTCTCGAGAGGCAATAGAGTGCCTTCAGGAGGTGAAATCAAATCACTGCATTAGCAAGTGACCTCCCTGGGTTGGAAGCCTGGGCAGTGTGGGTGTGGAGGTCCTGGGCCTCCCAGACGGCTCTTGGCCTTGCTGATCTAGTCCAAACAGAAGCCGTGTGCCATGGATATTGGCCTGTTCCATGTTCCCTAGGCTTGGCAGAAGATCAGGAAGAAGACCTTCCTCCATCGTGTGACTCTTCAAAGGAGCAGAACAGAGTGTCAGCGAGGGGGTGGGTCAGACATAGCTCAGGGCAGAAGGTTGCAGGTTCAATCCCTGGCATCTTCAGACAGGACTAGGAGAGACTTGCTGAAACCCTGGAGAGCTGCTGCATGTCAGTGTAGACCGTACTGAGCTAAATGGATCAAAGGTCTGACCCTCTCCCCACCTCACCAATGCTCATAAATGGCCTAAGAAAAAGGCATAGGAATATGCCTTATGCCAGGCCAGACTGTTTGGCCAACTGGCCCAGAACTGCTTGCTCTATCTGGCAGCATTTCTCCAGGGCCCTGGGCAGGGGTCTTTCCTGTCACCTGTGATCCTTTTAACCTAAACCTTCTGCATGTAAGCATATCCTGTTCTACTGATCAGTGGTCCCTATTAGATCTCTTAGCCTCAATTCCCACATTTGTCAATATTATTATTAATTTCTTACCTGCCTTTCACCACGAGGTTGCAGAGTGAGTTGCAGCAACTGAAGAATACAGTATTAAACTCGGTTAAAACTATTTACATATATGGAAATAATAATGCTGACTTACCTTACAGGGTTATTGTAAGGATACACGAAGACTCTTGAACACGCAGTGCTGAGCCCCAGGAGATAGTTTAATATGGCAACCTTTCTAGTGCTAAGTAGTTCTTGGTTGGGTTGGAACGTCAGTTGGGAACGTCATCTCTGCCACCTTGATCTTTGTGGAAGGAAGGAAGGCTGTAATTAACAAAACAGAGTCAATGTTTGGATTTCTGCCTTAACCAGCTGCTCCGATAGAAATGAAATGGTGACACTTAGAGAGTTTTGAGGATGGAATGGCTCAGGTGGGCTTCATTCGCTGAAGCCGGTACTGTCCTCCAGGTTGAGGCTCCCCAGGGTTAATGTGTCCAGTTTGTACACCCAGAAGTTTGGCATAGTTTGGCATTTATGTAGCCATTACTGGTGAACCTGTGGTTCAGAACTGACATGCTGAGTGACTGGTTTGAACTGTTTTGGCAACTTTAGTGACATGCTGAGTGACTGGTTTGAACTGTTTTGGCAACTTTAGTGTTTTAACAACCCAAATCCTAAAAAAGAACCTAGAGCAAGCTTGCATGAAGTGCTGCATAATGCTTGTATAACTATATAGTAATCCATGTTAAGAGATTGTGAACACTGTCCTAGGGCTGGTAATTGATTTGTAATCCTTGCATTCCAAATCTACTGTATATAGTCCTCTCTCCAAAGAGTTCATGGTGGCATACATTGACCTTCCTTTTCTCTCTCTTTATGGCAACCCTGTGAGGTAGGAACATAGGAGGCTGCCTTAATGCCAGCTCAGGCTATTGGCCTATGAAGCTCAGTATTGTCTCTGCTGGCTGGCAGCTGCTCTTCGGGGTTTCAGAGAGAATGCTCCCAGCCCTACCTGAAGATCCCAGGGGTTGAACCTGGGACCTTCTGCATAGAAAACACAACACTCTACCACTGAACGACATACAGCCCTTTAAATGGGAAGGTGAGCTTTGCAAGAGTGAGGACCTGAATTCTGGTTTGCCTGCTCTCTGACCACTACACTACACTATACCACACTGGCACGCTCATCTGTTTCTTCCCATTTTGCTCTTGTGGAGGAACGTTACTAGGCAGATTTTATTCTCTCTAAGCAAACTGTGCAGTGTTCTAATAATGACCTCTTTCCTTCATCACCAGCCAGGATCATTCGCAATTGGAGTTGTGTTGGAAATGACCCCTCGGGATTCTCCCAGTGCCATCCTGGGCGCTTGGGAGCTCCTCTTCCTCCTTGTTGCCCCTCTCTCCGGCCAGCTGTGCCCAGTCCCTTGCGAGTGCTCAGAACCGGCCCGCACCGTGAAGTGTGTCCAGAAAGAGCTGACTTCCATCCCAGCTGGCATTCCTGGATATACCCGCAACCTCTTCATAACCGGCAACCAGATCGCCCACATCGGCAGCCAGGATTTCAAGGGGCTGCCAAATTTGGTCACGCTCTCTCTGGCCAGCAATAGGTAAAGCTCGCTAGAAGCTGGGGAGCAGTGCTCAAAAGAAAGTGGAACCAGAGGAGGGGACACACACACACACACACAGGAACGTAAGAAGCTACCATATACCAAATCAGAACATAGGCCCATTTTGTCTGCACTGACTGGCAGCTCTCCAGGGTTTCAGATAGGGTTCTCTCCCAGCTCTATCAGGAGATACCGGGCATAGAGAACTAGGAACTTCTGCATGCAAAGCAGATGCTCAACTGCTGAACTTCCCCTACCCACTTTTTTTAGAAGGCAATGGAGTTCATACTGTGTTTGAAATTAAGGAACTCAACAAAGGAAATGAAATAGGCCTAGGGAGGAGTGTGGCCTAGGGATAGTTTGGAAGGCCACACAGAGAGTTGCCTAGTGTGGGTGGCATTTAGTGCTCAAGCCTGAGCTCTTCCACCATGTTTATGGTAATTTGAAGCAGTCATGGCTTCCCTCAAAGAATCCTGGGGGAAGTAGTTTGTTGAGGATGTGGAGCAGCGGTTCTCAACCTGTGGGTCCCCAGATGTTGTTGGACTACAACTCCCATCATCCCTGAGCTCTGGCCTTGCTAGCTAGGGGTGATGGGAGTTGTAGTTCAACAACATCTGGGGACCCACAGGTTGAGAAAGGCTGAGTGGAGAGTTGTTACAATGCTCCATCTCCCCTCACGGAGCTGCAATTCCCAGAGTGGCTTATGAAATCAATCCCTCTTCCCAAGGAACTCTGGGAAATTTAGCTCTGTGAGCTGTAAATGTTTATAATGTACAAAGCAGGTGGGACCACTGAGAACTTTTAATACAAATATATAAATATGTAGATGTCGTCTCAGAAAAGGTATTCTCCCTTCTGTCACAACAGCTTCTTCCACAATAGCACCTTGTGTACACACACACCCCACCTAAAAATAAAGTATGGCTTTTGATTTACAACTATTGCTTCTGTTCTTATTCAAATGTTATGCCCATATATCCCCTGACCAGGGGTGTGCCCCATTGAAGTCACTGGGGCTTACTTCTGAGTAGACTTATATAAGATTGCACTGCTGATTTTGAATAGACAAGTATCGTGAGAAGTTTCTCTTCTTCTTTCTTAATACTAGAACCCGGGGTCATCCAGTGAAGCTGAATGTCAGGAGATTCAGGACAGGAAAAATAGAGTATCTGTTGCAGTCTTCTGTAGCATTCACCCGGAGTCAGTGTTCCCTGGTCCGTGCTTACATGTCCTGCCACCTTTGCTGTGGAGATAACAGGCATTACCATGGCAACAGGCTTGTCGGAGACTGCAATTAAAGCTCTAGACTGATGCTCTGGTGCCCTGCCTCCTTTTCATTGGTGGCAGGGAGTATAAGGGGCAACCAAACTCACTGACTTCTGAGGTCTTTGTATCAGAGGCATGAGGCCTCTGCAACCATCCAGGAGGCTGGCTGGGATAGCTGCAGTGCCTGCCAAAAGCTTAGGTTTGAGTGCAAAGGGGCCATGGAAATGAGCCTTTTAAAAAGGATAACAGGCTCTTCCATAGGACTCTCCTGTGGAACTGGGAACCAACAGCTCTCAGGAACATTATTATTATTTTTCAATTTATATCCTACTCTTCCTCCCAAAGAAGCCCAGGCAGCAAACACATTACTAATAAAAACATTTTCAAAAGCACTCTAAAAACAGTTTAAAAGCATTCTCTCAACCAGTGATTTCAAGGTTGCCAGAAACTGGACCTTCCAGTTTTTAACCTGCTGAAAGGCAATTAACGTAGGAGACAGATGCACTGCACCAGGGAGGGCATTCTGTATTGGGGAAAAGGCCCTGTCATGTGCCAGGCAGCTCCACCACCAATAAGGCCTCACCTCCTGATTGTAGGATCTGCGATGACTGACACTGGGGAAGGTGCTCTTTTAGGCACATTGGTCCCCACAACCAGATATATCCTTCTGAAATTAAATAATATTATTTTTTTTATTTTTACATCTAATTCCACCTCTAAAAAGAGCAATCAAACTTCATTATTGAATAAACAGCAAGGTTATTTATTTGCCACTTAATGCCAAAATAGGGTTATAACTGGTATAGAAGTATAAAAACCAAACACAAGCAATGAAGTAGAAACATCCATCATCGAAGTAAAGGAATTAAAGCACACAGTAAAGTGATCCTGTTAAAACATCTATCATTAAAATATGCTCTAAAACAATCCCATTAAAACAAGGACTTGGGCCAAGAAATAAAGGGAAGGCCCATCTGCTCAATCTACGTTCCTGTTGATCCACTTTTCTACATGCAATGAGTTTTTAATGTGACAGATCACTAATATATGATACCGTCTTCACTTTGCTGTATAAGGTGATGCAGCCCGCAATTCTCACTTCGCTTTGAAATGAGGCACAGCGAAATATCTCAACCAAAACTTTTCCAAAGTGAATTATTTTAAATTATTTTTGGCAGTTGAATCACATCCAGCTCCCCAGCTCTGGAAAGCTAGGAATACCCACCCAAGATCTCATCAGAAGTCAGATGGTTCTGTGAGATCTTGCGAGAACATCCCAGAACTGGTGCACCAATTAATAATAATAATAATAATAATAATAATAATAATAATAATAAGTTAGTTAGTTATATGCCACCCATCTGACTGGGTTGCCCCAGCCACTCTAGACAGCTTCCAGTAAATTAAGCACATTGACCACAGGAAAACATTAAAAACTTCCCTATACAGGGCTACCTTGCTTGCCCCCCCCCCCAAGGTAGAGAGCTTAGAAGCTCGTTTTACACCGATCCTCAGAGTGTTATCATTGAGACATTACAGAATGATTTAGGTTTGGTCTTCTCTCTCTCTCTCCAGGATTAACACCATAGAGTCACAGGCCTTCTCTACTCTCCAAAGCCTGCGTTACTTGGACCTGAGTCATAATCTTTTGGCTGCCATCCACCCCAATGCTTTCAACGCCAGGAACAACTCCATCCGAGAGCTGAACCTCAGCCACTCGCTATGCAACTCCTCCGCCATCCGCCCTGTGGCGAATGCCCTGGCCCAGGGGGGCTTCCAGAACCTCTCCAGGCTGGAACTCCCCAGCAATGAAATTGTCTACTTGCCAGGTGGCATGTTCTCCACGCTCTCCAAGCTTGAGCATTTAGACTTGAGGAATAATTCCTTGGTGGACATCAAGAACTCCACCTTTGTTGGCCTTGATCTTAAGTACCTTGATTTGACCTCGAATTCCTTCAAGACCCTGAGGAGAGAAGCGTTGTCTGCCCTCAGGAGGCAATCGCACCTCCGCCTCTTCCTGAAGGACAACCCCTTTGTATGCAACTGCGACATAGAAGACCTGGTGAACTGGCTGAACCAGAGCCGGCTGGTGGTGGATGTGGAGAAGTTAGCTTGTGCCTTCCCACAGGAACTGAAAAATGCCTCCCTGGTGGAATTGGCTGGGGCAGATCTGGTGTGCCACACCAGCCAGCATGGCGAAAATGTTCTTCAGACATCCTACGCGGCTTTAGGTGCAGTCCTAGGAGTCATCGGTGTCATCTTCCTCTTTGTGCTTTACTTGAACCGTAAGGGTATCAAGACATGGATGAACAGCATGAGGGATACCTGCCAAAGTCTGATAGAGGAGTATCAGTATCGCTATGAAATAGACTCCGATCGCCACATCACGCAGGTTTCGGCACTGGATGTATAATGCTGTTGATAGCTTGGGGGGGCTTTCCAATGTTCCTTTGCTGTGTCTATCAGGCACCCTGAACTGATGGCACCCATAGTTTTTGGAAGTGGGCTGTTTAGAAATGCCTTCTCTGCCGTTGAAAACCCAAGCCAATTAAGACAGAGGGACCTGTGGATCAAAACTCTGGGTGTGGCCTCAAAGAGCCTCCTTTTATATTTATCCTTAACATTCTGCAGGTGGTTTGGCTAATTTGAAACGCAAAAGGAAGAGCATATCGCAGTTCTAGGAGCCAGCTCTGCAGAGAACGGAAAGAAGATGTCACCATTCTGATGGGATGTGCTGTCACCAAAACGTTTAGCCTCCTGGAGGACCAGGAGTCTGGAATCTTATCCTGTTGAGTCTTAAATATTCTGGGGAGTCTATTTTTGTCCTGTTTCAACAGGATCAGTTATCTGTCTTGCTCATTGAGTAACAGGTCCATGAGATGGTGTGGTGCTTATGTCAGACATGGCCAAATAACTTTGGTCTTCATAAAGGACCTCTCTCAGCAACTGCACCGCTTCCGAGGACACATGGGGGAATGCTATGGTGGTATGCTTGGTCAAAGGCCCCAAACCTCCAGCATGCTAAGAATAAGCATGCTTGAGGGAAGACTAGCTTAGAATCATATAGTTGGAAAGGACCTTGAAGGTCATCTGGTTCAATCCCTACTCAGTGCTGGATGCAACTACAGCATCCCTGGCAGATAGTCATCCAGCTCTGCTTAAATAAATACCTTCGGTAAAGGACAGCCCACCAGTCTGTTCCACTATGAAAAAGCTCTGTTGGGTATTTTCTCCTGACGTCAAGCTGAAATTTGCTTCCCTGCCTTCTCTGCCCATTGTTTCTCACCTCTCTGCCATACAATTTTTCCATGTGCAAAGAACTTGTGACAGCATTAAATCTTGCCATTGTCTTACCCTTTACCTTCATTCTCCAACAGTTATAGGAGAGCTGCTATACATTCTTTTTCTGAGCATAGAGATCAGCCTGTGGCAAAATCCACAGCATTATTCCACTGAACAACAGAGGCATCTTATTTGTCTCTTCCTTCTTAGCTAGAAACTGATGGGTCTGTTCTTCTCCTTGCTGGTATCAGTAGTGTGCTCATCAGAAATCAAGTAGGGGCTCTTCACTGGGTTTTGGAATAGTGTTGGCAAACTCCACAACAATGCTGCTAAATTCAAGAGTACATTCTCTGTCCCACCCTTGGGTCTTCTGAACAAAAACAGTGCCTGGTGCAAAGAGCTGACTTTGATCATGGTTGAAAGCATTTGCTTTGAGCTGTCATTCCTTTTGTTTTCAAATCCAGCTCAGCCAAAGAATTAGCTGTGTGGCCTCAGAGACACTGTCCTCTCTTAGCTTGGTCAGCAACGTGGTGATGTGAACAATAGCCATGGCAATGATAATGGTCCACCTACCTTACAGGGTCATTGTAAGAACTATGAGAAGTGTATATATGCCAAGTGTTTTATTTCCTGCAGTGGCCCTTGTAGGTAGGGATGGGGAACTTGTAACCTGTAGGGATGTAGCAACCTTTTTCCAACTCCCATCAGCTCCAGCCTGGATGGCCAATGGCCAGAGATGATGGGAGGTGAAGTCCAACATCTTAAGAGCCGCAGCTTCCTCCTCCCAATCATAGAACCATTTTGAAGGGCAGTGGGAAACTCTTGAAAAGTACTTGCAAGTTTGAGCTTAAGTAACAGAAATCTCACTGAATTTAACAGGGAGTAAACATAGAGAGGGTTGCAGCCAAAGTTATGCAGCACTGATCTCCTTTCCCCAGGAGTTCTAAGGAGGAATAAATACATTTTCTCCTGCTGGTCTTAAGCATATAGCTGTTTGCCCCCCCCATGATGTATTGCATTTAAGGGCAATAATTTCAAAATTAGAACACTCTAGGATATTTTCAACATGTCCACAAACGATTGTAGGAGGACACAACTCAAAAAATAAATGCAAGTTTGTCCTTACAGGGAAATATTACTTTGTTCTGGTTTTCAGTACTTAACACAGTGCCTGCCGTTGTGACAGACAGACACCAACGATGGTGCAATTTTATTACTCTTCTTTTTTATTACTCTTCTTCTGATACCAGGAGGGGAGACAAAATATTGACAATCACAAAGCATAAAGCATTTCAACTAATGCAACAAATATTTAACAAACAAACAAAAAACCGAGGCAAGACTTGTTTCAGTGATTAAAGCAAGAGAAGAAAAAGAGTTTGGATTTGATATCCCGCTTTATCACTACCCTAAGGAGTCTCAAAGCGGCTAACATTCTCCTTTCCCTTCCTCCCCCACAACAAACACTCTGTGAGGTGAGTGGGGCTGAGAGACTTCAAGAAGTGTGACTAGCCCAAGGTCACCCAGCAGCTGCATGTGGAGGAGCGGAGACGTGAACCCAGTTCACCAGATTACGAGTCCACCGCTCTTAACCACTACACCACACTGGTTCTCAGTGTGATTATGGACCACAAAGAGAGAACAGCACCAAAACCCGCAGCCCCTGCAATAACTCCACCCACTTAACATTTTTGTATAGCAATACGTTTGGCAGTGCAGTGACGTTACACCCATTTTCTAAACCACTTCGCTGGGTGCTGCTAGCGCAGGTGGAAAAATCCACAACACAGCAGTATCACATCATGTGTTCTCTCTCATGTTAACGGTGGGAGGGGGGGGTGTAGGGTCTGCATCAGCATCTCCTTTGGCAATGGCCTTTGACTGAGTGCAAGCTTGAGTTCAAATGGCTCGTTCAGATTTTCTCATGTCACGCAACCACTTTTGTTCAGGAAAGGATTTTGTTCACAAAGCTTTGTTTTGCCAAAACTTCCGTCTTTCAGCCGCTTCAGTTTGGTCCTCCTCAGACATGTCCGCCAGTGGCATTGCTTTCACGTTAGAAAGGGAATCAGGGATTATTTTTTCACCTTCCTGCGTCCCTCTGTAGCATTTCTTATTGTCCATGTTTTGGAACTCCTCCAACTCCCAAGGCCTTTGCCTTGGCATTCTCACATGTTTGAGGAAAGTAGCTAGCTCTGCCACACGGGTTCCAAAACTCTGGTCCCACAAGTCCCCTTTTTCACACAATGCAGCATTCTCAGGGTGTCCTCTGTGGTTAGCGCTGCGACATGCAAGTTATTCGTGGTGGAAATCTGGTCGGTGAGTGTGGCTGGTTCATGAAAGTGAGTAGCAAATATTTAGAAAGCTATTTTGCTGGCAATAAATTCTGAGTTCGCCCATGCCAATCCAAACCCATCATACGTAAGATGTTCCTCTCCCACGCTCATTGATGATTAGCATAAAGTGTTCGGTTGCAATCCTGGCAGATGTAGGTGGATTTCCCTTCCATGTTTGATGAAGGTGTGTCCCCCGTCCCCCCGTGCCGCCCTGCAGTTCCCCTGCCGTACTATAGCCCCCCGTGCCGCTCACTGCCCTTGCTGTTCTTTGCTACTGCATGCTACCATCTTATCCCCAGAACTCACAAAAACAGACTTCCAAAGGGACCAAGAAGTGAATGTAGGGGGAAAAAAAAGACAACAGAAGTAGTGTACATAGCTTATGATGAAACTTCAGCAGACAATGTCATTTGGGTAAGTTCATAAGGATATTGTCCAGCCTGCCTTAAAAAAACAACACCCCAAACCCTGCAGAAACCTGACCAGCCTTTAGACCTACATAGGAATAGTAAGGAACCTCCCTTCTCAGAAGAAAAACAAATAGGGTGAAATAGAGCAGGAAAAATGTTTTCAAATCCAACATAAGAAGAAAATTGAGGATCAGCTTCTCCCCCCCCCCTCTAGATGACCAAAGAGGGGACCTCAGCTCCTGCTACCAATGCAAAATCATTGCTGTGCTGAATCTTAAATTGTGGGTTGGTGTTATTTTTTGTCAAAATGCAAACAAGGCCGTTTTGCTTTTGAAATAAGGCACTGGACTTCAGTCCCATACCTCGAGACAAGTGAAAAAGCTTCAGAAGGAAACAGCTTTATGGAAAAAGCAGCTGCCTTTCCCCCTCACTTATTTCCCTTCTCATGGGAGGATCAATTTTAAAGGCCTAGTTGCCCCCAAAAGCCCACTTAGACCTAGGAGACTTGCTCCTCACAGGAAGCAACATTTGTTCTCTACTTAAAACGCTAAGTTGGATTCTGTGCCCAGTGGGGTTTAGACAATGCTATGTGTCTTGTGTGTGACCATCAGAGGCATCAGGGCCTTGCATTTCATTCTGTTATGTTTTGGAGGAAACAGCTGCCAACATGGGGTCAAGCCTACATCATTGTTGCTGCCACCACACTAGTGAGATGTGTTGAGGGGATGCATAGAAATGGGGAGGGGGCATTGCTGAGAGTTAGAGTACATGCCTTGAATGCAGAAGCCCCATAGGTTTATGGTTAGGTGGACCAACTATCAGAATGCACAAGGCAGCTTCAGAAATTCTTCATGTGGTGAAAGAATCATGTGCTCACTTGTACATTTTTTCCTCTGGGCAAACAGTGAATAATGTTCCCATCCTACCATGAACTTGAATTTGCCCCTTTAGAAGCATTTATACATTTATAACTTATTTCTCTTTTTCAAGAAAAAAGCAATGTATAAAAAAGTATTAAATTAAAACCAACATTGTAAAATCCCTACATTGTTCTTTGGTACAAACAATGGAAATAAACGAAATAATAGAATTTAGAGGCCTCAATTTTGTGTGGAAAGCTTTGAAAGGTTAAAAGAAAGCTTTTTATAATGTGTTGATAGAAATGATAGGAGGCAGATCATGGCCTCCCTGCTACTTAACAGGTGGAAAGAAATTTTATCCCCTCTATGGCCCAGTTCAGATGTCACAGTCCTGTCCTCCAATCCATGGTTTGGAAGATCAGCAATACCGCAGCATCAGCTTCGCTCCCTTCAAATCACTCACACTCATTTCTTGCTGTGCTTTGGCCTCAGTTTGTTCATATTCCTGAATCATGCAGTCTGTGATCAGCAGCAGCCTCCAAATCATAGTTTACAGATTTGGACATTACAGCAAAGCAGTTAGAGCAGGCTTCCTTAACCTCGGCCCTGCAGATGCCGAAGAAAGGGGAAGGGACTTTTCTGAAGGCGATTCTGCAGACTGAGGGGAGTGGTGAGAGAAGCAATGCATGGCTCCCTCAGCCTTTAGAGCGAAATGGGAGCTTGTGGGGCATGCCCTATAGTGCCCTACTATACCATCCATCGCTTGGCGTTTTCTTCTTCCCCCACTAGCATGCCTTGGGAAGCAGCGCCAAGATGCTGAGGGGAGATCCAAGAGGTCATTCTGCTACGAGGTGTGGATAAGGTGCCTCAGGGAGGAGTAGCAGTTCGCCAGTTGCCATTTCCCCCATCTTGTTCCTGCCACCTCAGGCCTGTCGACCTGCCTTGCAGGGAGAGGAGGAGGGGCACAAACTGGCATGAACCGTGCCTATTCCTTTTTTTTTCTTAAATGATATTTGTTAAAGTTTCCAATAAAAACAGAACACATCAGTAAAAGAAAATTAAAAGTAAAAAGAAAAATACACAATACAAAATACAAAAAAAAAAGTATTTATTTTTAAAAGTAAAAAGAAAAAACAATTAAAAACAATACCACCTTTTCATCACCACTTTTGAATTTACTTATTTTCTGGACCTCCTCGTACCTCCCTCTTTTGTATTCCAGTTCAATTTGTTTGTCCAGCAATTTCTTTCCCTCTTTTTTAATCCCAATTCTTAATCTTAATATGGTATAACTTTAACGCCTGTACAGCAAGAAACCACTTAATTTCAATCCATCATCACTCTAACATTCTTTGATTTTGCAATGTTTCTGTAGATAATCTTTAAATTTCTTCCAATCTTCTTCCACCGACTCTTCTCCCTGGTCACGGATTCTACCAGTCATTTCCGCCAGTTCCATATAGTCCATCAGTTTCATCTGCCATTCCTCCAGTGTGGGTAGCTCTTGTGTCTTCCAATACTTTGCGATGAGTATTCTTGCTGCTGTTGTTGCGTACATAAAGAAAGTTCTATCCTTTTTAACACCGATTGGCCGACTATGCCCAAGAGAAAGGCCTCTGGTTTCTTCAAGAAGGTATATTTAAATACCTTTTTAAATTCATTATATATCATTTCCCAGAAAGCCTTAACTTTTGGGCACGTCCACCAAAGGTGAAAAAAATGTACCTTCAGTTTCTTTACATTTCCAACATTTATTATCGGGCAAATGGTAGATTTTTGCAAGCTTGACTGGGGTTATGTACCACCTGTATATCATTTTCATAATATTCTCTCTTAAGGCATTACATGCCGTAAATTTCATACCTGTGGTCCATAACTGCTCCCAGTCAGCAAACATAATGTTGTGACCAACGTCTTGTGCCCATTTAATCATAACAGATTTCACCGTTTCATCCTGAGTGTTCCATTTCAACAGCAAGTTATACATCTTTGACAAATTCTTAGTTTTGGGTTCTAACAGTTCAGTTTCTAATTTTGATTTTTCCACCTGGAAGCCAATTTTCTTGTCCAAATTAAATGCCTCCATTATCTGAAAATAATGAAGCCAGTCTCGCACTTTGTTTTTAGTTTTTCAAAACTCTGCAATTTCAGTCTATCTCCATCTTGTTCCAAAATTTCCCAATATTTCGGCCATTTGACCTCCATATTGAGTTTTTTCAAGGCTTTCGCTTCCATTGGTGACAGCCACCTTGGAGTTTTGTTTTCTAATAAATCCTTGTATCTTATCCAAACATTAAACAGTGCTTTCCTGACAATGTGATTTTTAAATGCTTTATGTGCTTTGACCTTATCATACCACAGATATGCATGCCATCCAAATACATTGTTAAATCCTTCTAGATCCAAAATATCAGTGTTTTCAAGAAGCAGCCATTCTTTAAGCCAGCAAAAAGCTGCTGATTCATAATAAAGTTTAAGGTCTGGCAGGGCAAATCCACCTCTTTCCTTTGCATCCGTTAGTATTTTAAATTTTATTCTGGGCTTCTTGCCCTGCCAGACAAATCTAGAAATATCTTTCTGCCACCTCTTGAAACAATCCATTTTGTCCACAATTTGCAAAGTTTGGAACAAAAAAACATTCTAGGCAATACATTCATTTTTATCGCAGCAATACGGCCCAGCAGTGAAAGCTTCAAATTTGACCAAATTTCTAAATCTTTTTTCACTTCAGCCCAACATTTTTCATAGTTATCTTTAAATAAATTCCCATTTTTTGCTGTCATGTTGATCCCCAGGTATTTAACTTTCTTAACCACTGTTAAACCTGTCACATTCTGAAACCTCTCTCTCTCCATTGGTGATAGATTTTTCTCTAAAACCTTAGTTTTTGACTTGTTCAATTTAAATCCTGCAACTTGACCAAATTCTTGAATCAATTCTCAAACCCTTTTAGTACTAGATTCTGGCTCCTGTAACGTCAATACTAAATCATTTGCAAATGCTCTCAATTTGTACTGTTTAGCTCCGACCGAACCGTGCCTATTCCTTGTGCGCATGCTCTGCCCCTGCGACAGATAGGTGGGTTGGCAAGAGACGTGTGTCTTAGACTTGAACACTACCGTGGATAAAAGAGTAATCTGGGACGCAAGCAAAGCAGTTATGAGGGGGTTCCTGATTCAACAGAATTCATTAAAGAAGAGAGCTCAAAATGAGAAAAAAGAAAAAAAATGGAAAAAATAAAAGAGGGCGAGAAGAAACTGAGAGTGAAACCAAATTCACAAGAGATTCTGAGAGAAATAAAGTTATATCAAGTGCAATATATGAAGATGATGAATCAGGAAATTGAATGGAAAATTAAACAAATGAGACAAAGGACTTTTGAATCGGCTAATAAATGTGGGAAACTGTTAGCTTGGCAGATGAAAAAAAGACAAAAGCTAAACACTATTGCTAATTTGGAGGTGGATGGAAAGAACATCCAGAATCCAGTGGAAATTAGAAAATGTTTCCAGAGGTACTTTAAACAGTTATATACACAAGGGCCTCAGAAAGAGTCTGATATAGACCAGTTTTTGAAAACAAATGGATTGCAAAAATCTCTCAAGAAAATAAGACAATGTTGAATTACAAAATTACGGAACAGGAGGTAGAAGGTGCCATTCAGAATATGCAGTTGGGAAAATCTCCAGGGCCGGATGGCTTAACCTCAAAATACTATAGAACTTTGAAGGACTGGATAATTCAACCACTAAAGGAGGTTTGCAATGAAATTTTGGAGGGGAAAAAAGCGCCAGAGTCGTGGAAAGAAGCATATATTACACTTATACCGAAAACTGAGTCTGAAAAGACACAACTTAAGAACTACCGACCCATATCCCTGTTAAATGTGGATTACAAAATATTTGCTGACATTTTGGCTAAAAGGCTAAAAAAAGTATTAGGGGAAGAGATACACAAGGACCAAGCTGGCTTTCTCCCAGGCAGACACTTGTCTGACAACACGAGGAATATAATTAATATTTTGGAGAAGTTGCAAGAGGACATTAACACCAAAGCAGTTTTAATCTTTGTGGATGCCGAGAAAGCCTTTGATAATATTTCTTGGAGCTTTATGAAGAAAAATCTTCAGGGGATGGGGGTCGGTCAAGGGTTTGAAAATGGTATAAGTGCAATTTATTCAGAACAAAAGGCTAAACTAATAGTTAACAATGTGGTGACAGAGGAATTCAAGATAGAGAAAGGGACACGACAAGGCTGCCCAATTTCCCCATTACTCTTTATTTCGGTCCTGGAGGTTCTGTTAAATATGATTAGAAGGGACCATCTGATTAAGGGTATAAAGGTCGGAGCTAAACAATATAAATTGAAAGCCTTTGCAGATGACTTAGTATTGACTTTACAGGAGCCAGAATCTAGTACTAAAAGAGTATTAGAACTGATCCAAGAATTTGGTCATGTGGCAGGATTTAAGTTGAATAAGTTAAAAACTAAAGTCCTTGAGAAAAACTTAACAATGATTGAGAAAGAGAGGTTTCAGAATGAGACAGGTTTAACAGTGGTTAAGAAGGTGAAATACTTGGGGATTAATATGACAGCTAAAAATGGGAACTTATTCAAAGACAATTATGAAAAATGTTGGTCGGATGTGAAAAAGGATTTAGAAATATGGTCAAATCTGAAGCTTTCCTTGTTGGGTCGAATTGCTGCTATAAAGATGAATGTATTGCCGAGAATGCTGTTTTTGTTTCAATCACTACAAATTCTAGACAAAATGGATTGTTTCAAGAAGTGGCAGAGAGACATTTCTAGATTTGTCTGGCAGGGCAAGAAGCCCAGAATAAAATTTAAAATATTAACTGATGCAAAAGAAAGAGGGGGATTTGCCCTGCCAGATTTCAAACTTTATTATGAATCAGCAGCTTTCTGCTGGTTGAAAGATTGGCTGCTTCTTGAGAACACAGACATTTTGGATTTAGAAGGATTTAATAATGTTTTTGGATGGCATGCATACTTGTGGTATGACAAGGTCAAAGCACATAAAGCATTTAAAAACCATATTGTCAGGAAAGCATTGTTTAATGTCTGGACAAGATATAAAGACTTACTTGAAAACAAAACCCCAAGGTGGTTGTCACCGATGGAGGCAAAGGCCCTGAAAAAGCTCAATATGGAGGCCAAGTGGCCGAAATATTGGGAAATTTTGGAGCAGGAAGGAGACAAATTGAAACTGCAGAGTTTTGAGAAACTAAAAGATAAAGTGCGAGACTGGCTTCACTATTATCAAATAAGAGAGGCTTATAATTTAGACAAAAAATTGGCTTCCAGGTGGAAAAATCAAAGTTGGAAACAGAACTGTTAGATCCTAAAACAAAGATACTTTCAAGAATGTATAACTTGCTGTTAAAATGGAACACTCAGGACGAGACGGTTAAATCTGCTATGATTAAATGGGCACAGGACGTTGGACATAACATCATGTTTGCTGACTGGGAACAGTTGTGGACCACAGGTATAAAATTTACGGCATGTAATGCCCTAAAAGAGAATATTATGAAAATGATTTATAGGTGGTACATGACACCAGTCAAGCTTGCAAAAATCTATCATTTGCCCGATAATAAATGTTGGAAATGTAAAGAAACTGAAGGTACATTCTTTCACCTTTGGTGGACGTGCCCAAAGATCAAGGCGTTCTGGGAGATGATCTATAATGAAATGAAAAAGGTATTTAAATTTACCTTCCTGAAGAAACCAGAGGCCTTCCTCTTGGGTATAGTCGGCCAATTGGTGCCAAAGAAGGATAGAACTTTTTTTTATGTATGCTACAACAGCAGCAAGAATACTTATTGCAAAGTATTGGAAGACACAAGATTTACCCACTCTGGAAGAATGGCAGATGAAGGTGATGGACTATATGGAATTGGCGGAAATGACTGGCAGAATCCGAGACCAGGGAGAAGAGTCGGTGGAAGAAGATTGGAAGAAGTTTAAAGACTATTTGCAGAAATACTGTAAAATTAATGAATGTTAAAATGATGTTGGACTGAAAATAAGTGGTTTTGGTAATAAGGTTAATAAGAATATGTAAATATTGATAGTTATATGGATGAAAATATATAGTTATAATAGGTTAAGATACAGAGTAAAGATAAATGAAAGAGGGTAAGGATTTGCTGAAAGGATTTTGTAAACGGGAATACAAAAAGGGGAGGTGTGAGGAGGTCAAGGAAATAAGTAAATGAGCCTAAAGACATTGAAAAATGGACTTTTTCTTATTTAAAATATTTTTTCCCCTCTATTTTTTTAGCTATCTGTTTTTTGTATTTTGTATCATCCTTTTTTTTCTTTTTATTCTCCTTTTTAGGTCTCTTTTTTGGTATTTTTCTTGTTAGCTTTTGTTTTTTTTCCTCTCTATGTGTAATTTCTGGTTTAATTTTTTTTAATTCTTTAAATCTATGTTTATCGTAAAATTTCAATAAATATTTTATATATATAAGAAAAGAGACGTGTGTCTTAGGGTGCGACGCTGCTCCGCGCAGCACAGCACAGCACCAAGCCAGATGGAAGGTTAGTTGCAAACCTGGCTACCAAACTTCTCCACGTCCTTGCAAAATGCCGGTTTCCAGTCACAAAATGCACCTAACGCTGGCTCGTTTTGAATGCTGTTTGTTAAGAAAAGTCCAGAGTGGAGAGAGACTAATGTTAAGGATGGTCCCAACAGTCCCGAAGAGGGCCTACGTGTCAGAGAAATGTCAAAACATTAGAAATCCCTTCAGACAGCCCTGCTTCAATTTGTTGTTCAAGTAATAATAATAATAGTAATAGTAATAGTAATAATAATTTATTATTTATACCCCGCCCATCTGGCTAGGCTTCCCCAGCCACTCTGGGCGGCTTCCAACAAAATATAAAAATACAGTAAGGCATCAAACATTAAAAGCTTTCCTAAGCAGGGCTGCCTTCAGATGTCTTCTAAAAGTCTGGTAGTTGTTGTTCTCTTTGACATCTGGTGGGAGGACGTTCCTCCTCTTCCCTGACAGGTAGAGATGCCGCAGGAGGCATTTTGCATTTCTATGCCACTTTTCGCTCACTTAAGTGGCTTGCATACAATAAACAGTGGAAGGAAGAAAGGAGGCTGTGGTGTTTGCCCTCCTAGGTGTGTGACATCATACTGGGTTCACAAGGAAAGGGTTAACCACTGTATTTTTCGCTCTATAAGACGCACCAGACCATAAGACACACCCAGTTTTTGGAGGAGGAAAACAAGAAAAAAAATATTCTGAATCCCAAAAGCCAGAACAGCAAGAGGGATCGCTACGCAGTGAAAGCAGCGATCCCTCTTGCTGTTCTGGCTTCTGGGATAGCTGTGCAGCTTGCATTCGCTCCATAAGACGCACACACATTTCCCCTTACTTTTTAGGAGGGAAAAAGTGAGCCTTATAGAGCAAAAAATACAGTAATTGTAAAATGACTAACCAATGGGAACCCAAGGGGAGGAGTTAAGAGTTAGGGTGGTTGAGAAGTCAGTCTGGAGTTAGAAAGACAGAGAAGAGAAGTCTGTGGGTTGGGCTAGTCTGATGTGAGAGAGTGAGAGAATCTGTTAAGAGGAGTCAGTCAAACCGTTGATATAATCAGTCAGAAGGTATTAGGAAGGTATAGGCCGGTAAAGAAACTAAAGTTAAGAAACTGACAGGAATATTATCTGAAAAACCATAAGCTTGTTAATGCTTATAAAATAAACTTGTTTATTTGGTTCAATTTTAACAACTGTCTTGACTCAGTGTTTTACCCGAGAGTAATGGGTTGGTAGCAGCGGGGAAGCGGGCACAGGAATCAATAGACCGTTAAATATCCGGGGACCCTATGTGATCACCACAGAGGCTTTCTGTGCTTTCTCTGTACTATCATATCAATACCTGGAGAAAGTGGCCAAGTATGTCTTCCACATACCTGGAACAAGATGTCAGGGAACAGTTAGAGTTAGAAGTTTCCAGTTTTCCAGAGGGAGAAAGCTTTCCGCATGGCGAGGGGAGAGGAAAGCAGTGAATCTAACAGAAGAGAGCAACAGGAACAACAGGGAGGGACAGGATGTTCACAGGAAAGACAAGGGTTAAATTATAGCTCAGATTCGGAGGAGGGGAGATACAAGCCAGCTCTAGCGAGGTTAGAAAAAAGAGCGGGAAAGCGTTCGCCATTTTGAGATTTGCTGGTCACGGAGAAGCAGAGCTAAGAAGGTACCTGAAATGAGGGACTCTGAGGAATAATAGTTGAGGAACCGTTTCTAAGATTGTTTGTTAATACGCAATAAAAAGTGATAAAAGAACAAGAAGCGTTTGTGTGGTGATCTGAAGAGGACAACGATCAGTCCTGACACAAGTGGTCCGACAGATAAGTTTCCCTTCATGTATGGGGCTCTTGAGCTTCTATTGCCATAAGAGATATGTTGGGAATCTGTAGGACTCACTCAGAAAGTATCTTTCTCTCTCTGAGGACAGGCAGCAAAAAAAAAAGCCTTCTCCACCCCACCCTCAGTGTCAGGAGTCTCCAAGCCTCTTCCTCCTGGATCTCCAACTGATTCTTGCCTCATGGCAGGAGGCAGAGTCATTTTGCACAACAGAAACTATTAGGTTCTTTAAAAATAAGAGCAACAGAGCATAAGTCAAGAAGGCCGAGACAGCCATTTCTCCTCTCCGCAAGGCAGCAAGGGGTGGAACTGGTGCTTTCCCCCACTCTTTCCTACGACAGCAAATAGGCAGTGACTACACAAAGTGCCTGTTCTAGATCACACAGGGATCATTCTGGAGCGCAGGAGACCAGGGCAGGGCCAAGAGTATTCACCTGCCACTTTTATCATCACTTTGTGTTACAATTTCAGATGAAGATGAAATTTGTTTCCGAAACGTGCATCAGTGATGGGCATTTGGTTAACAGGACGACTCTTCCCAAGGCATCTGTTTGAACAACCAGCTTTCTAGCAAAACTAGTCCCCTTGGCTGGTGGATTCTGTCAGAAATGGGAGTGGAAAATTCCAGTGGGTCTACTCTGAAGATGACTAACACTGGAGACAACCCTTAGAATAAAAGTAGCCATGACACCAGAAGGTGCAAAGTCCACATTCAGATTGGGACCTGGTGATGAAAGGCTTTAACCCTTTGCTCCCATGGGGGCTACAATCTATACTGGGATGGGTGCCTGTTATCTGCATCAGGAGAATGGAGAACCCCTGGGAACGGTAAATCATCCAGAAAACAATGTTATTGGATGGCTTTTATATTCTCAATACCTCCATCAAACTACAATTCCCGAGGTTCCTTGGAAGAAACCGTGGCAGTTTGATGGATTTCTAAAGGCCAGCCCTCATGCAATGGGAGCCCTTCCTGTTCATTCTGCTGAGTGGGGCCATCGGTTTTCTTCCACAAAGTGTGGCTGTCATGGCATCCCTGAGCCTCATCTATTCTTTCAGGTCTTTGGTGCCTACCTGCCTCCAGAGCAGCTCCTGCAGGCAGTGTGTTACCTGGCCAAGGACCTTGCGGTCGAGGTCATATTCCTACCACTGATCATCTACGATCTGCTCCAGGAATTTTTGGAGGAAATAAAAATAAGTGGCAGAGCCACCGAGGGTCCCATTCAGCAGAAGGAACAGGAAGGGCTCCCAATGCAGCAGAACTTCATTTTACTTTGAAACTTCATTCTCTGTCTCTCTCTCTGATTAAGGAACATTTACATCTCTTCCTAAACTGCAAACCCACAGCCACCACAGGTTTCAGAATAATAACAGTAATTTTCTTGCACCTTTGTGAATATATACCGAATATATTTTGTTGATGCCCACCGGCCTAGACAAAGATAGGAACACATTCCTGCATTCCATTGATTAATAGTAAAATCAGGTGTAATGTTTTACAGACATATGAATAGCATATGAATAGCAAATACAATCAACTGACTTGCTACTTAATTACAACTTATTTGATTCATGAACTTTTGAGCTAATACCCAAACAAAACTTGTTTCTTTTTAGTTGGGGTAGTCTTATCAATCGCCCGCTTTCCCCTTGGGGCTCTGCCTGCATCTTTTGTTTATTGTATGACCCTTTATTTTTCCGTCTTTTATCTCCATCTCTTTTTTATCACAATTTCCTTAAATCTTTGGGGTGTTTTGTTTTTGCTCCCAACAAACTCTTCGTGCGGTATTATAACAGGAATTGCCTGTGCTGTGTTGCGATCCCCCCTTTATTTCCAGCCAAACTCTGTGTCTAAACAAGCTTTTTATCTCGTCTCTCCCTTGCTGCCCACCTTCGCTAGTGGGGAGTTGTTAAAGATAAACAGTCTCTCTCTTATTGGCGAGTTCAGCGCTACCTTGCCAGGTTTTTGGGGCGTTTGTGTCAGAGAGGGAATTAACCCTTTTGCGTGGAGGTCCTCCCTGCGTCTTGGCGATATACTTTGTTTTCTCACTTTGGGAGACCCCTTATCACGCCGCCATGGGCTCTGCCCTCAGGATCCCCACCTGAGGTCGGGTGACTTATGCCTCGTCACCCATTTCTGCCTCTCTCCAATGCCGGGTCTGCCTCGAGATATCAGGAGCGCAGATCCCCACCCGACTGTAGGTGTGCTGCTCCGGAAGTCTCCCCAGCCTGGGATGTTTGACTGCTGCAGGCAAAGCATGATGGATGTGGGCTCATGTCATCATGTCCACACTGCTGCTGGATGGGCTCTTGCCAGAAACTGGCATTTTCCCAGTGCTTCTCCGCCACTGGCAGAGGTGGTGAGACAGGTGGGGCACCTGCAGCAGTGTCACCTGGGGGGCTTCTGCGGCCTGAGGCAGTGGCCTCACCTTGTCTAATGATGGGCTGGCTCTGCCACCTGCTCACAATCCTGCCTTGCAATTCCTCCTAGGCACCCTCCTCCCTGCCCAAGCAAAGAAGGGAGCGGGCTCAACAGATCCTAGAAGGGGTGCTGATGCAGAAGTGGGGAAGAGAGAAGCCACACCCGTCCCTATGCATGAGGAGCCGTGCAGGAAGGAATTTCATCGAGAAGATCCCCTTCCCCTCCATCCAGAGGAGAAAGATGGAGAAAACAAACCCCAGCAATTCTTTAATGACCTTTGAAAATGTACCTCTCCTAGTGATGTACTAGGCCTTCCTTCAAGGTCTCCAGCTGCTCCAAAGTACGCCAGCAATTCAGCAGTCCTTCAGCTGCGCCTTCCCCACTGTGCCTGCACCCAGTCTGCTGCCATGCCTCCTCCTGTCACCTGGAGGCAGCCCAGGGAATCCCGAGTGTGCTGGTGGTAAGGAGGCCTCCATTTGTCCACCAGTCTATATGCAAGGATGTTGTCCAGGGTGCTGCCCTAAGCTTATTTCAGCCTGCTGCCAACAAGCAGGTATGTGTCATGAGTGGCAGCGCTGCTTGTTGGGTAAGTAAAGCAACATCCCTCCCTGGTAGGGATGGAAGGACTCGCCTCTTGAATGATGGAAATTACAATCCAGTCATGTGGCTAGGCAGGGGCCCAGGCACCTCCTGAATCATTTTCTGAGTCTCAGGATGGGTAATGAATTTGGAGAAATTGGACTGGCATGCAGCGCCCCTATGCATTCATCCCTGCCCTGCCCCAGCACATCATGGCACTTGGAAGCCACTCCTGAGAGTACCTGTTCTCCTCCCAACCTGCCTGTGAATTCATTGGGCTTTCAGTGTGTGACCTCACTGTTTCCCACTGTCTCTTTGGGACACCTGGCTCACAACAAGGCCAACTTTATCTTGGTAGAAGATTTGCCGTCCTACTGTTCCTGTAAGTGAGGAGAAAATGATTCTGCTAAGAAGGGTGTTAAGTGAAGAGAGATTAATATTTGAAGGATCTCTGGTGGTGAGATGGCTGTGCTTAGTTTCTTGCCTCCAGTTATGTGTGTTTTGGACTGGTATTTTTGCCTGGATTGCATCAACAGCTCAGCCTGTGAGGGATAGCTCTGCTTCTGGAATCCGATCTAGTAAGTGACTCCCAGAGGAAAGGATGGAGGGGGCAATCTAATCAGGTTGTTCAATGCAAACCTTCCAAATCTGCATTTCCCAAACCAAGAATCTGTTCTACCCCCCCCCCCCGCAAGACAGTGAGATCCTCCAATACTTCTGGATTTGGGGATATTAATGGTTCCCTCAACAGTAAAATTAATTCAACAAAGAAGACAAAGAAAGGGCCCAACGAAAAAGACCAGAAAACTTTGAAAAATAGAGAAACCAATGCTGACAAATGCATCTGTCCCTGTCCAGAGAGCAGAGGGTAGGAGGGGGTCCAACTTCTCAGACCATGGTCCAGAGCATGAAACTCAGGCAGATTCCCTTAGCATAGTGCTTGGAGCCGCAGTTGAACCAGGTTCCATTTGGAAGTCTAGATTCAAATTGCAAAGAAACCTTGTTGTTGTTTTTATTATTATTATTTTATTAACCTTCCCAAGCGGGAGGGATTTGGAATGCACCAGTCCACTGCTTGCTCCAGCTTGTTGCTCAGTTGAGGAACATCTGAGTGTGGGATGTAAAGGTGCAGTCAAGTGCAACATTCTGGCAGCGGACTAACAGCCTCCATGTTCTAAGCGGTTGCTGGTAGTTTTGAAAGATGACTGCTCAGTTGCAGTCACCTCAGGACCAACTTCCCTCTGGTATAGTTTCTTTGCTTGTTATGTAACCTAAGGCTGCCTTCAGGTACAGTTCTGTAAACCTGAAGGAACCCGAGAGTAAAACAGTTTTAGATGAGCATGAATCAGATTTGTGTGTGTATTCTTTAAGAGGGATTCCAAGGGATTTTGAACCAGGGAGGCATCTTGATTAGTAGAACTCAGACGAGTCAGCAACAAGCTGGTTGCTGCATCAACTTTAGAAAGGGGATTTTTTGAACTGTGCTAAAGTCAAGCTTCCCACCCTGAGGCCATAGCTTCCGAGCCGAGCACATCCTTTGCCCAACGGTGCTCTTGGGAGAGCTCTGTGGAAGACCTTGGAGACAGTGGCGGAGGAAACCTCTTGGGCCCCTTGGGTGACGTGCCCAGGGGCAGGGTGAAGCGCCCCTAGGAATGGGGTGCACGACGCCCGTAGGGACAGGGTGCGCTGTTATGTACTGAAGTTCTCACCCAGGGCCAGCAGGGGGATACTGTAGTTTTCATTCAGGTCCACGTCAGTTATTTTAGGCGGGAAACCCTGGGTTGTTGTTGCTACAATGTTGACAGCCGGCTGCCTATAAAAGCAGGCCGGCTGAGCTGTTCGCTGTTCAGTTCTGTTCCAGCTTACAAAATAAAGAGCTGCTTTGGAGAAATCGCTGTGTCGTGGAGAAATCGCTGTGTCGTCTGCCATGTCTACCCACTATTCAACATGCGCAGTGGGGCCTCAGCCGCCCTACAGCTGGGGGGGAGGCAGCAGGCAGAACAACAACAGAAATCCGGCATGATAACTGAGGTCACTGTAAAGAGAATGGTCAAGATCTCCTCAGTATGCCTGCAATTGTCTACCTGGGGCCTATCCTCTCCAAAGCCCCACTGTGGGATAAGAGAAGGATCTCTGGTGGTGAGATGGCTGTGCTTAGTTTCCTGCCTCCAGCTATGTGTGTTTTGGACTGGTAGTTTTGCCTGGATTGCATCAACAGCTCAGCCTGTGAAGGACAGCTCTGCTTCTGGAATCCGATCTAGTAAGTGACTCCCAGAGGAAAGGATGGAGGGGGCAATCTAATCAGGTTGTTCAACGCAAACCTTCCAAATCTGCACTTCCCAAACCAAGAATCTGTTCTACCCCCCCCCACAAGACAGTAAGGATCTCCAATACCTCTGGATTTGGGGATCTGAATGGTTGCATCTGAATGGTAAAGATCTCCTCAGTATGCCTGCCATTGTCTACCTGGGGCCCTTCCTCTCCAAAGCCCCACTGCGGGATAGAGAAGGATCTCTGGTGGTGAGATTGTGATTCCGTTCCTTCAAGCACCATCCATATTGTGCATCAGGCCTTGGCAGATCAGCCCAAGGGGAGGTTCTGGCGCTTGGTCAGGAGGCTGTTAAGTCTTATTCCGCTCCTGCCCATGAGCAAACTGTGGTCAGTTCTAGAGAATGGTGAGGGGTCTGTGGTAAGAGCAAATCTTTAGAGGTTTGAGATCTTTGAAAAGACCCTCTCTTTTGCGTAGGACCCCTGGATTCTACAGATTGATTTGCTGAGATCCCTCAGCTGCCCAGCCACCGATTTCATTTATTTCTTTTTTAGAAATAACATTATTAGATGGAGTCAACATTCACAGCAAGACAAATCCTCCAAATGTTTGAATTTTTTCCACAGCAAATTGTAAAATGAGTCATTTAAAAATAGCAGTAGCTACTTTAACCCTCCTCTAATTCCTATATTCTATTTGTGGGTGAGAAGATTTTCTAGACTACTTCTTTACAGACAATTGTGACTTCGTCACGCATTCAATTAGTTTGGTAGGTAGATTTTGCAATTAGTTTGGTAGGTAGATATTGCTCATGGAGCTCTTCACAATGCTAAAAGAGGTGCCGTCATTAGGGTCTTTCCAAAAACTGACAGTCCAGATTCCAATCCAGACATTTCCAGAGCCGATTCCCTTGACGTTTTCTACACGCCACTCTCCAGTTCACAATCCAGATGAAAATAGTCAAAAATGCACATAACTGGAAGCAAGAAACGAATGATGGCCTTCTCACCACCAGAGATGCTGTGGCTGAGTGGAGGGTGCCATCGCCGCCAGCAACAACAGCCACCGCAACAGGCTCCGGCCGCTAGGGGGCAAGAGATGGGTCGGGCACCCATGGGGCAGCCGGTGGCGGGAGGCATCATCGGGCTGCATGAGCTCAGAGCTGCCTTTGCCCGCTGGCTGGAAGGAAGCGAGGGACTACGACAGGTGCATCTTCTACATCAACCACAACACCTGGCAGACGTTGTGGATCGACCCCCGGGACAGGATTACAAAGCCACTGACATTTCCTGACTGTGTTGGTGATGAACTGCCTTTAGGATGCGAAATTGTTTATGACCAACAGATTGGTGTTGATTACATGGACCATATCAATCTGAACCAGACCGGGAGAAAGAGGAATTAACGAAAACAGAAATCAGACATGATAACTGAGATCACTGTAAAGAGAATGGCAAAGATCTCCTCAGTATGTCTGCAATTGTCTACCCGGGGCGTCTCCTATCCAAACCCCACTGCGGGATAGAGAAGAATCTCTGGTGGTGCGATGGCTGAGCTTAGTTTCTTGCCTCCAGTTTTGTGTGTTTTTGACTGGTATTTTTGCCTGGATTGCATCAACAGCTCAGCCTGCGAGGGATAGCTCTGCTTCTGGAATCCGATCTAGTAAGTGACTCCCTGAGGAAAGGATGGAGGGGGCAATCTAATCAGGTTGTTCAGCGCAAACCTTCCAAACCTGTGTTTCCCAAACCAAGAATCTGTTCTACCCTCCTCCCCACAAGACAGTGAAATCCTTCAATACCTCTGGATTTGGGGATCTGAATGGTTCCCTCAACAGTAAAATTAATTCAACGAAGAAGACAAAGAAAGGGCCCAACAAAAAAGACCAGAAAGAGGATTTTTTGAACTGTGCTAAAGTAAAGCTTCCCACCCTGAGGCCATAGCTTCCGAGCCGAGCACATCCTTTTCCCACAGGTGCTCTTGGGAGAGCTCTGTGGAAGACCTTGGAGACAGTGGCGGAGGAAACCTCTTGGGCCCCTTGGGTGACATGCCCAGGAGCAGGGTGAAGCGCCCCTAGGGATGGGGTGCACGGCGCCCATAGGGACAGGGTGCGCAGTGGGGCCTCAGATGCCCTACAGCTGGGGGGGGGGGGGGAGCGGCGGGCAGAACAACAACAGAAATCCGGCATGATAACTGAGGTCACTGTAAAGAGAATGGTCAAGATCTCCTCAGCATGCCTGCCATTGTCTGCCTGGGGCCCATCCTCTCCAAAGCCCCAGTGCGGGATAAGAGAAGGATCTCTAGTGGTGAGATGGTGATTCCGTTCCTTCAAGCACCATCCATGTTGTGCATCGGGAACTTGGTCAGGAGGCTGTTAAGTCTTATTCCGTTCCTGCCCATGAGCAAACTGTGGTCAGTTCTAGAGAATGGTGAGGGGTCTGTGGTAAGAGCAAATCTTTAGAGGTTTGAGATCTTTCAAAAGACCGCATCTTTTGTGTAGGACCCCTGGATTCTGCAACCAGGGGTTGTGTAGGACCCCTGGATTCTGTTGAGATCACTCAGCTGCCCAGCCACCAATTTCATTTATTTATTTTTTAGAAATAACATTATTAGATGGAGTCAACATTCACAACAAGACAAATCCTCCAAATGTTTGAATTTTTTTACAGCCAATTGTAAAAAGAGTCATTTAAAAATAGCAGTAGCTACTTTAACTCTCCTCTAATTCCTATATTATATTTGTGGGTGAGAGGATTTTCTAGGCTACTTCTTTACAGACAATTGTGAATTTGTCACACACTCAATTAGTTTGGTAGGTAGATTCTCTTCTATATGGCTATCTTTCTATGTGATCTCCCAAAACATCTAAGTGATTACAGTCATGTGCTTTCATCCATCTCCACTGCGCAGGATTCCTCTCAAATGACCGGATCCAGCAGAGAACGACATTTTGTACGAGTAGTTTGACTCTCGCTTTTTACCGCACTTCCTGGGGTATGAACCACTCCAGTTTCTAATCAACATGTTTCTGGGGTCTTGAAGCAAAATCTCTCCATTGCAAGAAATGATGCACTCAGCAGCCGGAAATCCGCAGAGGTATACCCTATATAAATAGAAGGTCCAATATGCTGCTCGCTGGGAATTTTAGGCAATTCTGAAGTTACTGGAAAGTGGATTTCCCCATTTTTTCAAGACAGCATGCATACTGCATATAACAGAAAATAGGAGAAGTATCCCTGCAGGTAAGTTCAGGGAAGCTCCAAAACTAAAAAAAGATTAAGACAAAATCTTTTTGTTTTACAGGTTTGAAGACACAGCAAATGACATCAATGCTCCAGCCGCTGAACTCATAATGAAAGCTAATGTCATTAAGTCCTGAGCAATAAAAACTTCCCTTGGGAGGGTTGCATATTGCTCATGGAGCTCTTCACAATGCCAAAGAATGGTGAGGGGTATGTGGTAAGAGAAAATCTTTTGAGGTTTGAGATCTTTGAAAAGACCACATTTTTGTGTAGGACCCCTGGATTCTGCAGGTTGATCTGCTGAGATCACTCAGCTGCCCAGCCACCAATTTCATTTCTTTATTTTTTCTTTATTTCATTTCACCAATTTCATTTCTTTATTTTTCAGAAATAACTTTATTAGATGGAGTCAACATTCACAGCAAGACAAATCCAATGCCAAAGTGTCGCCGTCATTAGGGTCTACCCGGGGCGTCTCCTATCCAAACCCCACTGCAGGATAGACAAGGATCTCAGGTGGTCAGATGGCTGTGCTTAGTGTCTTGCCTCCAGTTATATGCGTTTTTGCCTGGTATTTTTGCCTGGATTGCATCAACAGCTCAGCCTGTGAGGGATAGCTCTGCTTCTGGAATCCGATCTAGTAAGTGACTTCCAGAAGAAAGGATGGAGGGGGCAATCTAATCAGGTTGTTCAACGCAAACCTTCCAAATCTGTACTTGCCAAACCAAGAATCTGTTCTACCCTCCCCCCTGACAGTGAGATCCTCCAATTAATTCAACAAATATGTCAGCAAGAAATTGCTACCCAGAGAGAAACAACTTTCCACGATAGAAAAGGAATGTTTTGCTATCGTCTGGTCCCTACAGAAGTTGAAGCCATACATCTGGGGCCAGAAATTTATACTGTGCACCGATCATTCACCCTTGCTTTGGTTAAGGACGATGAGCACTAATAGCAAACTGATGAGGTGGGCCCTGTTGCTGCTGAACTTCAATTTCACCATAAGAAATGTGAAAGGGTCCCTGAACATTGTGGCCGATGCTTTATCAAGAAGATCCAATAATGAAGGTTAACCATAGACGGTTAATATTTTTCCCTGTAGATAACCGAGTTGCCTAGAATGTACCAAAACCTCTGTATAATTGAATGTTTTGTGGGATGTTAGAATCAGGTGCAGCCAAACACAACATTGCTAGAGTAGAAATGAAAGTTGTCTCGGTCCTCCAGCTGGAACTTCCTGCTTTCCAGGACTAAGAAGAAACTTTCTATGTGTAACTTGAGATGGGCGTGGTCTCTCTTGAAGTAGAAAGAACCAGAATCACAGACTGGCGACCATCTTGCCCCTCTTGATGCCATCTTAACAACAGCACTACTAAGATGCACCCTTGGCTCCAGGCCAAGAGAAGAAAAGGGGGGCTTTCTCCCATAAGGAGATAGTCACCACATTTAAACTACGTTCTAACCTTTTAAGTCTCCCTTCTGGGTACCTTTGTGTGAACAGATGATTACTTGTGAGTAAATGTTTTATACTTTACAGAAGACTGTGTAGCATCTTATTTTAGGAGGGATTAAATGGGGGAAATACCAGGAAATATTTACAGAGACTCTAATGAGTCTGAGAAAGCTATCTGCTGTTCGTGTGTTTAAGAAAAGGAGAATGTTAACTCTGCTGATTTTGTTGAACTTGTAAAGACAAGTTGGGATAGGACATCTTAGACAATATATCCTCCCCCGCATCCCTAAACATTCCCACATGTTTTACCAATAGGCAATTGTTGTACTAGAGAATATAGGAAGTTAAATGTATAACCTAAGTATAAATATGTTTATTTGCTTTAATTGTCTAATGCAGTTTGATCAGGAGTGTAACTCTGTTCAGTTATCCCTCCTGATCAAACTTCTTTAAGGGGGGAGGGATGCTTGCCCATTCTTTTGAAAATGTCTGTACAGGGGGAGAGAAAGAGTTAATAGCTGGTCGGTTGGTTGGTTGGGAAAAGGCAGTTGGGAAAGCAGTTGGCAGATAGATGGAAATAGACAGTTAGTGGAGTTGGTTCTTGTGTGAGGGGAGGTAGAAGAGTTAGAGACAGAATAAAATAAGACTAAGAGGGAAAAGGGTAACAGCGTTTCAAATGTATTTAAAGTTTATTTGTGTTTGCAATAAACCACAATCTTCATTATGAACTTAAGAACCTGACTGAGACCAAGTGATTTACCAGGGAGGACCAGGTTGGTGGCAGTGGATTAGTGGTGTACAGGTGAATAGTCCGTGAGACGACTGGGGGCTCCGTACAAACGCCACAGAGCCCAACAAAAAAGACCCTTTCCATGAGAAATGGGTTTTATTTATTTATCAAATACTTTTTATTGAGTTTTCTATAACATATACAAACAAAATAAATACTCTAAAGTTCAACAATCATGTGTCTACTTATTTTCTACACACTCTATCGCGCGCAGACTTCTCTCCTTCCCTTCAACAGGCTTTTATATTAAATTTTCTCTTTCACAGGTTCTTAGTTGCATTCTATCCACATCACAAGATTTATTTTAATCCTGCTACGGTCTTTAAACTTCTACAGTTATTACCTATATATTTTACAAATATACTCCATTCCTTTTTGAACTTTGTTTCCTCTTGGTTACGGATCCTGTGGGTCAGTTTTGCTAATTCTATATATTCAACCATTTTGGTCTGCCACTCCATTAGTGTTGGTATTTCCTGAGTTTTTCATTTTGGGGCTACTAAGATTCTGGCAGCAATTGTAGAGTACATAAATAGTCTGTGGTCTGCTTTTCTTAATTCACCGCCTATCAACCCCAGCAAAAAAGCTTCTGGTTTTTTGGGGAAGGTATATTTAAATATTTTTTTCAATTCGTTATAAATCATATCTATTTTTTTTTTCATTTTTTCACATGTCCACCACATGTGAAAAAACTCTCCAGCTTTCATTTTACATTTTCAGCATGCTTTAGTGCTCACTCTGTACATTTTTGCTAGCTTGACAGATATAATATACCAGCGGTACAGCCTTTGCATTATGTTTTCTTTTAGGGTAGTACACGCCGTGAATTTCAAGCCCTCGTTCCACAGTTTTGCCCAAGTGTCATATTCAATATTATACCCAAAATCAATTGCCCATTTTATCATTACCTCTTTTGTCAATTCATCTTTTGTGTTCCATTCCAATAAAAAAAACATACATTTTCGATAAGTTTTGACCTGCCCTCTACTATTTTGATTTGATATCTTGACTTCTTTTCACTGAATCCCACTTTATTACCCCCTTTATCATTCACTTGATATTGTAACCATCCCGTAAATGCATTCTCTATACAATTATAGGGTTTCAGTTTCCATCCTTCCTCTGTTCTCATTAAGATTTCTTCATAGGTTGCCCTCCTCCCCTCCATATTCAACTTTTTTACTGTCAGCACTTCCACCGGGGTTTTGTTTTATAACAGGCAGCTGAAAAGGAGCATGACAGGACCTACAACTGATTCCTGCTTCTTTGTGGAAAGGTGTTCTGTGATAATCTGTTGACACCTTTGACACTCCATAGTTTCTGACCTAGGCCTGGGGTCCCAGAGGTGTCGTGGGGTGCCACACCAAGGGTGGAGCACTTAACATGGGGCTAGCTACGCCGCTGTGGGGTCCCCCAAAAAGCGTACACGCATCCACCAACAGCAAGACCCACAATCACTAACGCCTTCCAACATAAAAAGCTGCTTCCATGCAACTTTCTCTTGCTTCTCACTCACTTCCTCCTTTCTGGGTCTGGGCCAAATCATTCTAAATACCGCGCCTCATCCTTTCTAAGGCCAGTGCCTCTGTTCCGGAAAAGCGAGGGAAATTGGCAAAAAGGGGTATAGGGAGCTTTGAGGGAGCATGCCACGTTTCCTCCCGGTAAGTATTGCAGATTTGGAATCTCCCCAAAGATGCACCATTGTATTCCTGCAGAAATTTTTAGTGGTTGTATCTTCTTCTGTGGGCGTCAATAAATTATAGGTAGACGGGCTGCTTACGGATTAGGGCCATCACTTCTCATCATGGGAAGTGGGCTCTAGTGAGCACATTCAGTGTCCAGAGCAGTCCTCTGGAAGGGAGAGCGATTATCATAATAGAGTTGCCACAAACAGCAACTCCCTCGTTTGGCCCTATCATAAACCTCAACAACGTCCAGGTTGTTTCCACAGTATCTCCTTTCTTGATCCCACAGCTTGTCTTACAGAGAAGCATTCTCAGCTTGCAGGGACTTGAGGAGGGATGCGGTCTCTTCATCTCAATCCTGAAATAGGGGACTCTTAAGGAGTCCATTCACTGCTGAAGTTAATGAACCAAGGCTTGAAGGGCAGAGACTTAATTTGCAGTTACATCATCACTGATCATCTTTAGCAAAGTTATCACCTCCTTGTAGGAGAAGATCAGGTGAAGGCCACAATGGCCTCTGTGAGGCAGCGATTTTGTTGTTGTTCTCCTTACCAGGCATAAGGCCACATGAACTGATGAGACTGCCTCCTTCTTTCGCAAAATTGTCCCAAAGTAGCAGAATGAACTCTAGAGAGAACTAAGAAGGGGAGAGAAAGAGGATTTTCTCATTTGCTACTCCATTAATAATGGATTCTCAATATTGCTCTGGGATCTGTCGATTATTTGTTGTATCTTCCACATCAGATTTGATAGAATCTCTTGGCTCATGAAGTAATCGCCACAAACAAGACCTTAAATGAAGGCAGGCAGGCACTGGCGGAGGATGCCACCACGGCTCCCCCCCCCCCGTGCTGTGCGCCCGCATCCAGGAGCAACCCCAACTGAAGTCAATGGGACATACTTCTGAGTAAACACACACATGACAGGACTGCACAAACAGGAAAGGTTTGGGTCACTCTTCACCCTAGAGTGGCCACTGGAAGATACCATCTGAAGAAAAGCCCACCCCTTAGCTCTTCTTGACTTCTAATTCTGCTTTTCTCCTTGTGTTGCAAGCAGCAAAGTAGGATCATCACCAGCTAGCCCCACATGTGATGTGGTGGGTGGATCCAGACAAGTTTAGCCTCTACTTAGCACTCTACTAGGCTGCTAAAGATTTTGAAGGTTACTGTGACAGAAGGCCCAGGTAAAGCAGAATTTGATGGTACTACCAGAGGGGTATAGCTCTCAGTATGTTGGGTTAGAGCAGTGTTTCTCAATCGGGGCCATGTGGCCCCTGGGGATCCCCAGGATATTCCAAGGGTGTCACAGGTGAAAATCACATAAATGGGGGACCAAGTGAAGAAAAACAGAGAAGTGACCGAGAAAAGAAAAACAGAAGTGAAGAAAATAGAAAACAGAGAAGTGGAGTGAACAGAGAAGTGACATGCTTCCCAGTGCATAGATCATCATGCACACTGTGCTGCAACGTTGCTTCCGCTTCCTTGTCCCTCCCGCTTCCAAACTCCACTACTGTGCACACCAAGTTGTCCACATCTCAGTTGCCACAGACAAGGTGCGTGGCTGCAGCAGTGTTTGTGTATGGGATGTTGTTTCTTTGTGCAAAGGTAGCATGTTGCTGCAGACCATTTTTGGATTAAGAGTACAGTATCCAAAAAGCTTCCACAGCTTTGGGATAAAGCAAAATTGTTTTCATGGCATTTCCTACTTCATATATGGCAGAATCAGTTTTCAGCCATGCTCAGCCTAACACAGAATCACCTTAATATAACGGACAGAGGTGATCTTCAGTTATCTCTCACAGCAATAGAACCAGATATAAAGCTTGTTTCTGGCCATCAAGCACAAGGGTCACTTAAAATAAATATTTAAGAGTATAATGTGTTATGTAATTGTATTATAAGAGAGACATGTTTTATTTGCAAATAAAACATTCAAATGGCTACCTTTCTACTGGCATGACAGGGGGCTACAGGAAGGAAACAAGGTCGGAAGGTTGAGAAACATCAGGCTAGAGCTTCACTCTGTGACTGGCTGTGGGTACAGCTAGCCAGAAGGGGATGGGCACAGCACTTTGAGAGGTAAGGTGGGTTCTGGAATTTGATTTGATTAACAGCATAAACTCAGAGATGTGAAAAATCTGCCTGTAGAGAAAATTTTCATCCAGAGAAGGCAGTCTCTGGGCTGGAGGTTAGCTCGAAAGCCAGATCTTTGAGAACAATCGGAAGTCTATTTTAGGTCCTTTGATGTTTTAATTTTCTTTTTTGTATTTTTAAATTTTCTTTTTTCTAGTATGGGATGGGATACAAACTGTAATATAGTAGATTGTTGTATAAAGTTGTGAAATATGTTCCATAAAGGTATATATACACACACACCGTATTTTTCGCCCTATAGGACGCACTGGCCCATAGGACGCACCTAGATTTGGGGGGGGGGGAAGGGGGGAAAAAATTCCCCCACAGGCGCGGGGCTGGGGAAGCCCGAGCTTCCCCCTCTCCCAGAACGGGACCCAGAGCGATGCTGAAGCTGCGTGCAGCTTTGGCATCACTCTGGGAGCTTGCAGGGCTGGAGGAGGGGGAAGCCCTCCGCCAGCCTTCTAACCAAGTCGGGGGACAGCGGGAAAGGCGTGCTGCGCCTCCCGTTGTCCCCCAAGTTTGCGGGGCTGGCGATGGGGAGGAGCAGGCTTCTCCCCCCCACCAGCCTTCTAACCAAGTCGGGGGACAGCGGGAAAGGCGTGCTGCGCCTCCCGTTGTCCCCCAAGTTTGCGGGGCTGGCGATGGGGAGGAGCAGGCTTCTCCCCCCCACCAGCCTTCTAACCAAGTCGGGGGACAGCGGGAAAGGCGCGCTGCGCCTCCCCGCTGTCCCCCAAGCTTGTGGGGCTGGCGGTGGGGCTCTCCTGAAGCCTGGAGAGCGAGAGGGTCGGTGCGCACCGACCCTCTCGCTCTCCAGGCTTCAGCGAAAGCCTGCATTGGCCCCATAGGACGCACACACATTTCCCCTTCATTTTTGGAGGGGAAAAAGTGCGTCCTATAGGGCGAAAAATACGGTGTGTATGTATATATATAATCTTGAAAGCCAGTGGTTGTTGTCTTTCAAGGGTATACAGAAACGCAAGAACTAGGAAGCTGAAATTTGGGAAAGGTGAACTGGAGTTGTGAGGGAACGCAACGCTCTACGTAAATCCCAATTTAAGAATTTTGTCAAATGGATAAATGTTAAATTCTCAAAGCCTGCCAGTTCTTTGCTGGGTGGCTGGCTGTATTTACAGCAACTGGTCTACCAAATTTGTTGAAAATGATTTCCTACATCTCAGCATTCCAGCCTCGACAGGATATGTGGAGAGGATTTTCTCCATGATGGCAAACAAATGGAATGATGTTCGGTACCGGTGCTCTGTGGAATTGATAAAAATTGAGCTCAGAGGGAAGAGCAGAGAAATCCTCAGAGGGAAGAGCAGAGTTTAGAAGATGTACCTAATATTCAACCTGAGGCAGGAGATCCAAAATTCTCTGAAGACTTTGAAAAGTGGAAGTTAGAACAAGAATACAAATTGGAATTAGAAAGAATTAAGAGCTGGGAGGGAAAGTGAGAGCAAAAGAATTAGAGCTAAGCATGAGAGGGAAAGAATGCAATTTCAGCTGGAGATGAGGAAACTGGAATTAGCAGCTATGGAGGGTCAAAATAATAGTAATAACACCAGTAGTCAAACTCAAGTGAAGGAAGATTTAAAGTGTTTTCCTGAGTTTAAGGGAAAAGATAGCCCTGAGGGCTCATTTGAAAGAGCTTGTCAAGATTTTCAAGTGAAAGATGAGGATAAGATGAAGATACTTAGAGCCAAGATAAATGGTGCATTAGCTGAAATCTATGCCCAAATGACTGAGGACCAATTCAAAAATTTTGATATGTTTAAGCAACTAATATACATCAGGTTTGGGATTACCTCAGAACAACTGAGAAAGAAATTTAGAAGTGTAACTAAAGTGAGGGAGGAAACATGTGCTCAACTTGGGGCTAAGAATCTCAAACTACCTCACAAAATGGTTAGGACAGAAGGAGGGAGACTCCGTTCCAAAAATCAGAGAAGTGTTTGCTCTGGAACAATTTTATGAAACGATAAACGGCCAATTAAAATATCTTATAAAGGAAAAAAACCCTCAATCGCTTCAAGAAGCCGCTAACTTAGCTGACCAAATAATAAAAGAAATAAGGGACCGTAGGTTTGATGAACCAAGTTTTTTTGGGGGGGGGAGTGTGGGGGACTACCAGAAATAGATTCCAACAGGCAAAGGGAAACCCATCTTCAGAGACAGACAAGGGAAATAGGCCATTGTCAAAAGGGCAAAATTACAAGGCCCAAGCAAACACCGGTCTCACTGAGGAGAAAGGGTGGAAAACAAATTATACAAATCCCAAAGAACTTAAATTCTGGGGATGTGGAAAATTTGGCCACGAAAGTTTTAATTGTAGAGCTGGAGGGGAAAAGTCTGTCAATATTAGCCCTCCAAAAAAACCATTGTATCGAGGACTTCCGGAGGCGGCGCCATCGGCAATGGCGGATTCCCTCTAGCTTTGCAGGAGTAGCTCCGCGGAAATCAGGTCTTGCCGCTACGGTGAAGCGGGGACCCCTTCGAAAACCACAGGCGGGTGAAGCCTGTGACCGTGGGACTCGGCAGGCACCTTTAGCGCCCCCCCCAATCTGCGAGGGAACCCTGAAAAGAGTTCCGGAGCGAAACAGGGAGTCTGGCGCGGTGCTGAGAGTCAACTGCTTCTTCCGTGGAGTGAAGCCACGCAGCTGTTGCCGGAGAGCGCTGACCTTTTTCCTGTGACAATTCGGCTAATAAACAACTATTTATTTTGAGATAAATATGAACACTACCATCGAAAAAAGAGTAATCTGGGACGCAAGCAAAGCAGTTATGAGGGGGTTTCTAATTCAACAGAATGCAATAAAGAAGAGAACCCAAAATGAGAAAAAAGATAAAATTTTAGAAAAAATAAAAGAGGGTGAGAAGAAACTGAGAGCGAAACCAAAGTCACAAGAGATTCTGAGAGAAATAAAGTTATACCAAGTTCAATATATGAAGATGATGAATCAGGAAATAGAATGGAAAATTAAACAGATGAGACAAAGGACATTTGAATCGGCCAATAAATGTGGAAAACTGTTAGCTTGGCAAATGAAAAAAAAGACAAAAACTTAACACCATTACTAACTTGGAAGTGGAAGGAAAGAACATCCAGAATCCAGTGGAAATTAGAAAATGCTTCCAGAGGTACTTTAAACAGCTATATACACAAGGGCCACAGAAAGAGTGTGATTTAGACCAATTTTTAAAAACAAATGGACTTCAAAAAATCTCTCAAGAAAACAAGTTAATGTTGAACTATAAAATAACAGAACAGGAGGTGGAAGGTGCCATCCAGAACATGCAATTGGGCAAATCTCCAGGGCCAGATGGCTTAACCTCAAAATATTATAGGTCCTTAAAAGATTGGATAATTCAACCACTAAAGGAGGTTTGTAATGAAATTTTGGAGGGGAAAAAAGCGCCAGAGTCGTGGAAGGAAGCTTATATTACACTAATACCGAAAAATGAGTCTGAAAAGACACAACTTAAGAACTACCGCCCCATATCCCTGCTTAATGTGGATTATAAAATTTTTGCAGATATTTTGGCTAAAAG